GGAACTACAAACACATCTACCACAGCTTGCATGATGAGGCCAGGGGTGAGACACATTATCCAACAACCTGTGAGGAGACTATATCCACAAATGAGAAACTAACATTTAAGACCCAACTACATCAGGAGAGCCCAAATAACTCAAGTAGGGGGCTCCACTAGAATATCCAGCTCAGGAAATCTGAGAAACCACACAACTGGGTCATACAAATCACCAAATACATAGGACCACCCCTCACCACCCCCAAACACACACACACACACACACACACACACACACACACACACACACACACCAAAACAAAAAACGGGTGGCATAGCAGCTGGATCTAAGAAATAAAAACAAATACAATGGGACAGCAAAAATGGGGAGATGAGAAACACCCCAAAGTAAAGGAAAGGAGGAATTGCCAGAAATGGAAATAAATGAAATGGAGGCAAGTAATTTGTCAGCAAAGGAATTCAGAGTAATGGTTATAAGAATACTCAAATGTCTGGATGACAAATACACACAACTCCGTGAGAATTACAAGGAGCTGAATGAGAAATTCACCAACATGAATAAGAATTAAGAGGAAATGAAGAATGACATAGCTGCAATAAAAAACACAATGGGAGGTTTCAACAGTAGACTAGAAGAAGCTGAGGACTGAGTCAGCGAATTAGAAGACAAAGTAGAAAAAAGCCCCCAAGCAGAGCAGCAACTGGAAAAAAATTTAAAAAACAGGAGGAGAGTCTAAGGGAGCTTTGGGACAACTTGAAAAGAAACAACATCTGCATAATAGGGGTACCAGAATGAGAGGAACTTGAGCAAGGAATAGAAAACCTGTTTGAAGAAACAATGACAGAAAACTTCCTAGACTTGGGAAGAAAAAAGTCACACAAATCCAAGAAGCACAAAGAGTCCCAAGAAAGATGAACCCTAAAAGACCCACACCAAGACACATCATAATTAAACTGGCAAACATAAAACACAAAGAAAGAATCTTAACCCTTTGAGTCCCAAGCATGCGATCGCGCTGCTTGGTATTTCTTGACATAAAATAAAACAAGCGCTATCACGCTGTTTGGGTCTTTTCGTACTCATTTAGAGAAAGCGCGGTTGCGCTGTTTGGGATTCTTCGACAGTGTTTTTTCAATACCCCCCCCCCGGGACTCAAACGAATCGTATGTTTTCTCGACATAAAATCTCAGCAGCGCCATTGCGCTGCTTGGGACTCAAACGGTTAAAGGCTACAAGAGATAGACAGAAGGTCACCAAGGGATCTCCAATTAGACTATCAACTGATTTCTCAACAGAAATATGTCAGGCTAGAAGGGAATGGAATGAAATATACAAAGGGATGCAAAACAAGGGACTCCAAGAATACTCTATCCAGCAAGACTACCATTCAAAATTGAAGGTGAATTCAGGAGCTTCACACACACAAAAAGCCCAAGGGAGTTCATTACCACCAAGCCAGCAATGCAAGAAATGCTAAAGGGACTGTTATAAAAGACCCATATATATTCTCTCTACAAGAGACTCACCTCAGAAAAAGGACTCACACAGACTGAAAGTAAAGGGATGGAAAAAAATTCTTCAGGTAAATGGAAATGAAAACAAAACTGAGGTAGCAATATTTATATCTGACAAAATAGACCTCAAAGTAAAGGCCATAACAATAGATAAGGAAGGCCACTTCACAATACTAAAAGGCTCAATACAACAAGAGGATATAACTCTGGTAAACATATATGCACCCAATACAGGAGCATCCAAACACATAAAAACACTTCTGGAAGATATCAAGGGAGAGATCAACAACACAATCATAGTAGGGGACTTTAATATCCTTTTGACGCCACTGGATAAATCCTCAAGACAAAAAATTACCAAAGAAACAGCAATTCTAAATGACTCACTCGATCAGATGAAACTAATTGACATCTTCAGAACATTTCACCCAAAGCTTCAGAATATACATTTTTCTCAAGTGCACATGAGACATTTTCAAAGATAGACCACATGTTAGGACATAGGCTAAGTCTCTACAAATTCAAGAAGATTGAAATCATATCAAGCCTCTTCTCAGATCACAGTGGCATGAAATTAGAAATCAACTACAATAAAAACTATCATAAACAATCAAACATATGGAGGCTAAATAGCATGCTATTAAACAATGAATTGGTTACCAAAGAAATCAAAGAAGAAATAAAAAGCATTCTGGAAACAAATGACAATGAAAAAACAACAACCAAAAATCATGGGACACAATGAAAGCAATCCTGAGAGGGAGGTTCACTGCACTAAAGGCCTACCTCCAAAAACAAGAAAAACTAGTAATAAGTTATCTAACCCTACAACTTAAAGAAGTAGAAAGAGAGCTACAAGAAAGCCCAGAGTAAGTAGAAGGAAGGAAATAATAAAGCTCAGAGCAGAAATAAATGACATAGAGACCAAAAAAACCAACCAACCAAACAAAAAAGATCAATAAAACCAAGAGCTGGTTCTTTGAAAGGATAAACAAGATCAATGAACCTCTTGTCAGACTCACCAAAAAACAAAGAGAGAGGACCCAACTAAAGAAAATCAGAAACGAAAGAGGTAGAGTAACAACTGACCCCACAGAGATAAAAATGATCGTAAAAAAATACTACGAACAACTCTATTCCAATAAACTGGACAACCTTGACCAATTGGACATATTCCTAGAAAAATACAATCTTCCAAAACTCAACCAGCAAGAATCAGAAAACCTGAATAGACTGATAACTACTGATGACATTGAAGCAGTAAAAGTGTTCTTTTCATTATCCATTAATAGAAAGGATTAAACACTGTTTGACTATTACGTGGGAAGCACATAGAAGTATGTATTCATAGTGTTGTTGCAAAGCCATGTTATAATCTACCTAATAAAATGGTGCTAGAGGTGAGAGATTAATATAAAAATGCATAAGAAGTAGATTATATATAAACATAAAACTAAGCCACAACCTGTCCAGGAAACCAACCTACTGTCTGTAGTAACCAACCCAGGAAAGTAAACAATAATCTTAGAGTAATTGGCCAAACCAATCAAGATTTGGTTAATATTTGTCAGTTTTTTTTAGTTTTTGTCCACACTTTCAATTTAGGAATAACAAGAGAAAGCCAAATATCCTTTCCTAGTCAATCACATAGGACACACCAGTTAGCCTGCTTACAGCTTCCTCAATTCAACAGAGTCCAATCAGGGCATACCTGAAGCATTCTCTTTCCCCCCTATAAATATTTACCACTCTCTGCCTCTATTTGTGTCTCTGCCAAACACAGTGATGATGGATGACACCCTTGCTATAAAAGCTCTGAATAAATATCCTTTGCTTGCTCTAAAAAAAAAAAATACCACATATGAGTAATCAGAATTTGAGATATAAAGGTTTATCTTTTGATGTAATCATGTCAAAGTGATCAACCTTTTAATCTAGTGAAGTTCACTAATGTCTAAAATCATAAAAAAACTCTCCAGGTAGTTATGCTAAGTGAAATAAGCCAGTCAGAGAAAGACAAATACCACATGATCTCACTTATATGTGGAATATAATGAACAAAATAAACCTACAAACAAAATAAATGCAGAGACATAGAAGCATGGAACAGACTAACGAATCTCAGAGAGGAGGTGGGAAGGGGGTGGGAAGAGATTAATCAAAGAATTTATATACATATATGCATAACCCATGGACACAGACAATAGTTTGTGGAGGCCTGGGGAGGAGATGGAAGTCAGGGGAGGGAGTCAATGGGGGGAAAGGAGGAACATCTGAAACACTTTCAACAATAAAGATAAATTTTAAAAAATCATTAAAACTAAATACAAATTTTAAGGTTGTCATTAAATCTGTTCAAGAAATTAGACCTTAATGAATTCCATAGAGAACTTCAACTTGATAATGGGAACTAAGAAGTCATAATACTATTGAGACAGGAAAAGTGCCATTAAAAAAATTGAAAAGCACCAACAGTACAGGAAAATGATGGTCTAATTGAGGAAGCAAAGTGCCATCTTACCCTCTCTGCAGGAAACCCAGAGTGGCGAATCCTCTGCTCAGTGGACAAGACACAATCAAATTACATTCAGCACATTATGAATTAAGCATCTGAGAACAGAGTGACTTTTACCATAGCAACAAAGCCTCAAAAAGCCCAGAGTTTTATTGGCCAGATTCTTGTTCTTTCAGGGCAGCATGAATCCTCACCCTGGATGATTAAAAATACCAGAAGCAAGCATGATATTCAGATATTCAAGTTAAGATGATAATTATATAGAGAGAACAGAAAATATAGTTATATGTATAAATAGCCAGATGTGAAAGTATATAATTTAGAAACTAACTATAACAAGTTTTTTAAGGATCTGAGGCAATACCTCAGCATTGCCTAATAAAACAATCTATCCATCATCCAGTATGCAAATCTTGGCTCCTGAAGGACTTGGTTCTGTTAGGGAGTCATGAAAGGGTTGAAATTTTTCTCTTTAGCCAAGGTTTTAATGCTGGGATCAGGAGTGTGGGATAATCTTTCTCAAGTGGCCAAGATTCCTGAAAGAGAGGTGTGACATTTCCCCTAGCACGGAAGTACTGAAGATATAGCACAGGTAGAAGCAAAGGAGCAGCAGGTCACATGCAGCTTGTGGTGACTCTTTCATCATCCAGGAGACTGTTGGCCCAGACACCTCCTGAACCATGAGCTGGCCCTCACTGCCCTCTCAAATGTAATCTTAAATAAACAAGAAACTTCTCTCATAAAAATTTAGTCATGATTGAAGTGCAATGAAAAGGAAGTTAGAATTCTGGTTGCAAAGCATTGAAGTTGAAAGCAGGAACTATTTCATACTCACCTTTAATATCCCATGAATTAATCTGAGGCCTTACAAGAAAAAGAAAAATTTACAGGACCATTGGAGTAAAAAGGCTATATTCATGAGATTAAAGAAGCAAATCAGGGAACTTAAGACTCTACGACTCATTTAGTTATTGATTAAAGAGAGAGTTTATTCACAGAGTTTTTCGAATACAAACAAAATAGCATTTTTTGTTGTTTTTTTTTCACAAAGTGAATATTGAAATAAATGTGATACAGCACAGTATAATAACAGACAAAAGAAATAAGATCTAATGCCTGAAAAAAGGATAGAAATATTCCCCTTTACTTCATAAGTATATCATAGCAGAAGCTACTCAGAGAAATGTAGCATGTTTTGAATAATATTGAAACACAAAGGCTTAACTGTAAAGGTCTGCATAAACACTGACAACAGATTGAGGGCATAAAGAGTTTATGCAGACTATACAAAATACTGATAGAGTGGCTTATTGGTACATTTATTAGGTTTAATGTATGCTTTATAAAGTGACAATACAGTATTTTAAATGTATATTAAAAACAGAGGAGTAATGCATACCTAAACCTCTGTACAGTATTTGTGACAATTTTATATGTTTGTGCATGGGCATGTGTGTGAATGTGTATGTCTCTATGTGCTTGTGTGCTTTCAGAAGCACCATGACCTACAGGGAACATCTGCAGGTTACCCGACTTCTCAACATAATACTGTTTCTACTAGCCCTTTTGATTATCTGAGTCCTTATCTTTAAAAAATCTAAAACCCTTGTGTGCATATATAGATTTGTTTTGCCTGCATATATGTTCTACATTAATAATACTCTATGGAATAGAAACAACTAATACCCCCTCAATATTTTTAGCCTTTGGTCCATTTTTTCCCTATCATTCTAAGTGCACATTTCTTTTGTAAATCTTGTACAACCCTTCCACAGTATATAATGTTTCTGATTCCATTGGATTTTATTTCATCAGCATTGTACTAATTAGAACCACTATTCCACCTTTTGAAAGTAGCTGGATTTTTTAGTACCTCCAAGCCCCTTCAGCCCATCTTCTCCTCTCTTTATTCTTGGTGGCTCCATCTTAGTATGGGTACTGCTTCTGCTTCTTGCCAGAGAAGCAAGCCAGCCATGTGCACAGAAGTATGGCAGCAGCAGCACCTGCTCCTGTGCAGTAGTAGGCCCAGCCGATTTCACACTTACCTAGAGACACAAGAAGGGAAGAGAAAAGAGGCACAGATCAGGATGATTTTGTAGGAGGTTCTGTATGTGTGTTCCTAATGTACAGAAGCGACATTGAAATACCCACTATAAATATGGTATACTCAAGCAAATGGAATGAAAATGCATGCTGAAAATTATCTCAAGACTGAAGAAGCAAGAATGGTTTCTTTGCATTTCAGGAAGATCTTAGGCCTATGCCTCCTGCCTCCAATGGCCACAGTCCTAATGAAGAAAGGAAGAATGGCAATAATCAGGATAGAAAAGATGAAGCTATTAATCTAATTTAAATCAACCAAACTTATATGCATAATGAGGTACCTTAGGAAAAATTCAAAATAGATGAAATCCTTCTGAAAAGGACCACTCTATGGAGGAGACCCATTTGAAAGATAATGTTGAAGTGAATACTGCTATTTACATGTAATTGTTAAATTATGCATACAGTCTGAACTGGAGAAGAAAAATTCTCAGGTTCTTCTGAGGTCAACACTCACCTTTAAATTAAAGCACCATGTAAATGAGAACATAATAACAAGGTCCAAATGATCTCTAAGACTTGGCTTAGTCCTTGTACTAATAATAGCATCCACAATACTAAAAATACAAGTAGTAAAAGAAAATAGGAGCAATTATATTAATTTCAGAAAAAGCAGACTTCCAAGCAAGATGTTATCAGGGATAACGAAAAGTATTAACAATGATACAGGAGTCAATTCTCTCAAAAGACATAATAATCCATGAATGTGTATGCACCTAACAATAGAGCATCAAACTATGTGAGGCAAAAACTGACAGATTTCAAGGAGAAATGGATAAATTCATTATCATAGCTGGAGACTTCAATACCCCTCTGTTAAAAATGGATAGGTCCAGCAGGTAGAAAAAGCCTATAAGGATATAGTTGAATTCAACAACACCACTAATCAATTAAATATAATTTACATTGCCAGCCTACATCTAAGAACAACAAAATACACATTCTTGTCAACGAAGATGAAATATTCACCAAGATTTTGGGCCATAAAAAAACTTAACACATTTAAAAGAATAGAAATCATACAATCTCTGCTTTTAGATCACAATGGAATTAAATTAGAAATAGATAACATAAAAATGACTAGAAAATTCCCAAAATTTGTGGAGATTAAACAACACACTTTTAAATAACACATGTGCCAAAAAAGAAATCTCAAGAGAAATTTAGAATATTTTGAACTAAGTGAAAATAACACAACTTGTCAAAATTTGTGGTTTCAGTAAAAACAGCACTGAGAGGAAAATCGAATGCAAATATTAGAAAAAAAGAAAGGTCTAATATTAATTATCTGTTTCCACTTTAGAAACATAGGTTTCTAAATAGGAATTAGAGTAGAAATCAATGACATTCTATGAGGCCAGCATTACCCTAACACCAAAACCAGACACAGATATTACAAGAAAAGAAAATTATAAACATCTCTCATGAACATAGATCCAAAAATCCTCAACAAAATATTAGCAAATTAAATCCAACAACATATAAAAAAGAATTATACACAGGGTAGGGTGGGGGTAAGGGGGAGAGATCAACCAAAGGACTTCTATGCATGCATATAAGCATAACCAATGGACACAGACACCAGGGGGGTGAGGGCATTAGCGGGGTGGGGGGGCACTGGGGGGTAAGGACACATATGTAATACCTTAATCAATAAAGAAAAAAAAAGAATTATACACCATGACCAAGTGATATTTATCCCAGGTATAAAGGCTGGTTCAACAATTGAAAATTAATTAATACAATCCATCACATCAACAGACTAAAAAAAAAAATAATCACAGGATCATGTCAATAGATACAGAAAAGTATTTGACAAATCACTCATTCACTAATGACAAAAATTGCCAGTAAAACAGAGGGGAATTTTCTCAACTTGTTTAAAAATTCTATAAAAAATCCTATTGCTAATATTATAGTTAATGTGAGAAACTCAAAACTTTCTCACTAAGATCAGGTGCAAAGCAAGGATGTATCCTCTCACCTTTCCTTTTCAATATGAACTAGAATCCTGGTTAATGCAATAAGGCAGGAAAAGAAAACAAAAGCTATACAATTTAGGGAAAAAAATAAACATGTCTCTGTAGATAATATAATTGTCTATGTAGAAAATGTGAAAGAATCCACAAAATACTCTGGAACTAATAAACAATTATAGCAAGGTTGTAGGATACAAGGGTCATATATAAAAGTCAATTATTCCTTATATACCAGCAATGAACAAGTAGAATTTGAAATTGGAAACATAATACCTTTATTTTTATTTTTACTTTTTTTATTGATTAAGGTATTACATATGTGTCCTTATCCCTCTATTGCCCCCCACCCCCCCACTCATGCCCTCACCCCCCTGTTGTCTGTGTCCATTGGTTAGGCTTATATGCATGCATACAAGTCCTTTGGTTGATCTCTCCCCATTACCCCCACCCTCTCCTACCTTTCCTCTGAGGTTTGATGGTCTGATTGATGCTTCTCTGTCTCTGGATCTGTTTTTGTTCATCAGTTTATGTTGTTCATTATATTCCATAAATGAGTGAGATCATGTGATATTTATCTTTCTCTGACTGGCTTAGCATAATGCTCTCCAGTTCCATCCATGCTGTTGCAAATGGTAAGAATTCCATTATGTAGATGTACCACAGTTTTTTAATCCACTCATCTGCTGATGGGCACTTAGGCTGTTTCCAAATCTTAGCTATGGTGAATTGTGCTGCTATGAACATAGGGGTGCATATATCCTTTCTGATTGATGTTTCTAGTTTCTTGGGATATATTCCTAGAAGTGCGATCACTGGGTCAAATGGGAGTTCCATTTTTAGTTTTTTTGAGGAAACTCCATACTGTTCTCAACAGTGGCTGCACCAGTCTGCATTCCCACCAGCAGTGCACGAGGGTTCCTTTTTCTCTGCATCCTCACCAGTACTTGTCCTTTGTTGATTTGTTGATGATAGCCATTTTGACAGGTGTGAGTTGGTACCTCATTGTCGTTTTGATTTGCATCTCTCGGATGATTAGTGACTTTAAGCATGTTTTCATATGTCTCTTGGCCTTCCTTATGTCTTTTGAAAAGTATCTATTTAGTTCCATTACCCATTTTTTGATTGGGTTGTTTATCCTCCTTTTGTTAAGTTGTATGAGTTCCCTGTAAATGTTGGAGATTAAACCCTTATCAGTGATAACATTGGCACATATGTTCTCCCATGCAGTGGGCTTTCCTGTTTTGATGATGGTTTCCTTTGCTGTGCAAAACCTTTTTATTTTGATGTAGTCCCATTTGTTTATTTTCTCTTTAGTTTCCAATGCCCTAGGAGCGGTATCGGTGAAGAAATTGTTTTGGCATATGTCTGAGATTTTGCTGCCTTTGGATTCCTCTAGTATTTTTATGGGAAACTTATGTTTAAGTCCTTTATCCATTTTGAGTTTATTTTTGTGTATGGTGTAAGGGGGTGGTCTAGTTTCATTTTTTTGCATGTATCTAATTTTCCCAACACCATGTATTTATTTATTTATTAATGTACATGGTTGTACATGTCTTTTTTTTAGGGTTTGGGCTTTTTGGATAAATACCCAGAAGTGGAATTGCTGGGACTTTGTCTCTTGTTATAGCCTTTGTTTCAAAGTCCGTTTCGTCCAGCATGAGTATTGCTACCAGCTTTTTTGTTTTTACTTCCATACCTTTTCCCATCCCTGTACTTTTAGTCTGTGTGTGTCTTTTGATCCGAAGTGAGTCTCTGATAGACAGAATATGTAAGGAGATTGTTTTATTATCCATTCAGCCACAGCTTGTCTTCTGATGAGAGCACTTACTCCATTTGCATTTAATTAAAAACCACTGGATCCTCGGACCCGGTCCACCCTGCACATTGGGGAGCTGCCTGGCCCCACCCTCCTCACAGAAGCCCCCGGCTTGTCACTTCTCCCTGATTAAGCAGGCCAAGTATGGATTCGAGGAAAGCATTAGCCATCCCCGAGGAGACGCACCACTGGGGATCTGGGATATTGGAGACCAAAGGGAGGCTGTCCTGGTCAGGATGCAGCAGAGGGCCCGGCGTAGACTGGGATGGGGTCGGGGGGCAACAGCCTTGACCTGGACCCTCCATGCCTAACCCTGCTAACCATACACCTCCTCCGAGACCCAGTGTGGATGGGGGTGGGAGGCAGGGGCTCCCCTTGCCCTGCCCACCCTGGGAAAGTGGCCTCTGAGGGCAGGGACTCACCCTTGCACCGGCCTTCAGGGGGGACACTTCTCTGCAATGGCCGTCTGTGTGTTCTCGGACTTGGAGCAGTGCCCCTGCCTTCTACACCTCGGAGGCCAGTAGCAATCCCCCAGTGAGACAACTAAAATGTCTCCAGACCTTCCCAGCGTCCCGGGGCGGGGGTGGGAGGGGGCGCAGAAACCCCCAGAGCGAGAGCCGATGGGCAAGGCAGGGGCCCAGACCTGCAGTGAGGATGAGCTGAGCTGAGCAAAGCCACGGCACAGCTTATCTTGCATTCTCTCCAACTGCGTTTGTGGGAACAGGTGTCAAGCACGGGGGTTCAGCGGGTCTACAGCACAGGCAGCAAATGGCAATGGGGCGGGGGAGGGGGAGTGTTACAGTGCCAGCCTGGAGGGCTGGGAAGTGCTCTGTGTCCCAAGGCCAGTCCACCCTCCCCGGGCCCAGGGGAGGGGCTGCCAGGCCGTGGCTGAGGGTTGTCGGGACCAGCGGCGAGATGAGGAATCGGCACGGAGCCTGGAGAGCATGCTCGTGGCATCGGGAGCCCCAGGCCCAGGTCCACACGTGCGGGGAGAAGGCTGAGGTGGCCTCCCCTGCCGCCGCCTCCGAGGAGGACACCAGCTTCTCTTCTCGGCTGCCCCGTCACCTCCCGGGCCCCCAGGGCCTGGGACGGAGGGGGGGCACCACATCCAGTGCTTTGCTCCAAATGCCAGTTAGTGGCCCCTCTG